AAAGAAAGCAATATACATGTTGTAGGCATCATTAAGGTACCCACACGATTATTTTAACCACATACGTTACTGAGCCCAGTTTTTAGCTAACAAACTCCCAGATTTTGATCAGTTCCTTTGCTTTGCTACAACCAGAAGCTGTGCTGAGGGAGCTGAAGGCAGCAGCCCAAGGAATATCAATGCACATCACTATCCCTTGCCAATCTCAGCTGGGGAAGTGCCAATCACACAGGTGATGCCGGTGAACAAGGGAGAGATTTAGCCCTGGCTGAAGAAACAGTTCTTCCCACACTCACCAGTTCCTCCCACATCTGGACCATCGAACAAACACGAAAGGGGAAGTGAAACGAAATATTGTAAAAAAGAATGAGTGCTGTAATATCCAAATACCCTTTGATCACACTCCCTGCTTTATTTGTTGGGATGATATTCCACTGATCACTTTTACCAGCTGGAAACCTGGTAACAGACTTGCTATTACATCAGGGACCAAAGCTTGAAATTCTCTCCCTGCAAACACCAGAAACCTGCTTTCAAGCCAGCCATGCATGAACACCCCAGAAACAGGGTCATAAACAGTCCGAGGTTTGAACTGGATGCTCACAGAGGGTTGCAGCCCACAAGCTGGGCAGGCTGAGCTCTTTCTCCTGCTGCAGTTTCCCCTCCATAGACAGACTCTCACACTAGTTTAAAGCAGCCTTTTGACTCCTCAGGATGTGAAGGGAGCACAGGGAGTTGGGAAATGAGGCCAGTGAGCAGCATTTCACCTCTCTGTGGCTCATGAGACCCAAGTAAAGCAATGAGAATTGAAAATAGCTATCCCTTTGCTAGCTTAGTGCTCTGTAAACATGTATTAGTGGCTTCGGCTGGGCACCTCTGAAGGTCAAACACCTTCAGGGTAGTTAACACCTGGGTTGGCAGAACAGGCTGAAGAGAATTAGCCACTTTATCAGCACTAAAAATTATTTCTTTCCACTCATCACCATCAGCCCAGGTGGATAAGTTCCTGGGGAAGCTGTTGACGTGGATAATAAAATTTGAATCAGCCCGCCAACCTGGCCACTTCTTCCAGATTATTCCATACTTCTGCATCAGATACCAGGCATCTCAGTTAAACACCGGGCATGCAGACAACAAGCAGCTTGACAAACCGAGAGAATCTAGCCTCTTGAATGACTTTTTGGATACAGCTGATACAAATGGAAAATTCAATCAAAACTATTAATTCAATATCAAAACCTTAATGCATGTTCTCCCTGAAATCAGGACTTATTTAAAATGCTGCGTAAGTCCCCGTCAGTGAACAGGACAGTTTCTCTCACTGAATAAGAACAACAGAAGCAGAATTTCCCATGTTTTTCACTGTTTGGGGTTATGATTATTCAATTTTTTTCTGTAAAGTGCTGTAACTTACCCAAAGGTTTGGGTATTAGGAAAGGGTTCTTCCCCCAGAGGGTGGCTGGGCACTGAACAGCCTCCCCAGGGAAGTGGTCACGGCATCAAGTCTGACAGAGTTTGTTAAGTGTTTGGACATCGCTCTCAGGGACACAGTGGGAGTGTTGGGGTGTCCTGTTCAAGGTCAGGTCCTTGTGAGTCCTTTCCAACTCGGGATATTCCATGATTCTATGATTCAAAATTCATGAGTTGAAAAAAACAAAACAAAACCAAAAACCCCACAAATGACAGATAGAAATTTAGGAATATTTCTAGGCGATAAGCAAGCAAAAAACCTCCCAAGAAACAAAACTCACCCAGCCTTTAGGAAAGCTGTTGGCAGATAACCTGTCTCACAGCAGGGACAGGCGGGCAGGACACGTGGTGTTCCACACAGGGACCCCACAACGGCGGGGCGATGCCTCTGCATCACATTTTCCTGCTGGGACAGCTTTCCCTGTCACTTTTACAGCCTTTCCCCACACCCGGGATCCCTTTGCTCCACCCGCGGCCGGACCCTGACGTTTCTGTGGCAGAGCCAATTTCCTCTAATGACGAGTGGTGCCAGCGAGCCCTGACAGCAGCTCTGGGGCACACAGCACAGCCCTCTGACCAGTTGGGGCTCTCATTACGCTTCCAGCCGCAGAACCATCGGGAACTGCGGGAATGGAGGGCAGGGAGGCGGGAGCTGCGGGAATAGAGCGGCAGAACTATCGGGAACTGCGGGAATGGGGCGCCAGGGAGGGAGCTGGGGAATAGAGCGGCAGAACTATCGGGAACTGCGGGAATGGGGCGCCAGGGAGGCGGGAGCTGCGGGAATGGAGGGCAGGGAGGGGGGAGCGCCCAGAAGGGCCGCACCCGCCATGCCCGCGCGCACGCGCGGCGCGGCGACAAGATGGCCGCGCTAGGCTGGGTGCTCAGGGCGGCTCGGCAGGTCAGAGCGACTCCATCCATCCATCCCTCCCTCCCTCCCTCCCTCCCCGCTCTTCTTCGGGGCTATGTGCCCGGCCGGGGCGCCGGGCAGCGGGCAGGGGGGCTGCGGGTGTTGTTAGATGGCTGCGGGCTCGGCCCCAGCCCCGCGGCGGCCCGGACTGCGCGGGTCGGGTGTAATGTGGATTCGGTGTAAGGTGGGGCTCGCTGTGCCTCCCGTACCGCGAACTCCTCGGCGCCTTCGACGGCCAAGCTGGGTCACACGTTACCCTTATACCTCATGGCAGTGTGCAGCTTCCTCACGAGGGGCAGCACCGATCTCTGCTCCCTGTGACCGGTGACAGGACCCAGGGAAGGGCTGGAGCTGTGCCAGGGACGGTTCGGTTGGATCTCAGGAAAAGATTCCTACCCCAGAGGGTGGTTGGGCACTGACCAGGCTCGCCAGGGCAGTGGTCATGGCCCCAAGGCTGCCAGAGCTCCAGGAGCGTTTGGACAACACTCTCAGGGATGGGGGGGATTGTTGGGGTGTCTGTGCAGGGCTGAGATTGGACCCAGTAATCCTTGTGGGTCCCTTCCAACTCACAGCATTCCATGATTCATGGAAATAACAATTCTTATGTAACTGGGGCAAACTACATGCAGCAGGCAGGTGTGACAAGCTTCATTTCTTGAACTAGGTTCTCCCCTCACCCTGCCCAGGGCAGGTGCGGACCTACTATGTGGACTGGAGGATGCTGCGGGATGTCAAGAGGAGGAGGCTGGCTTACGAGTACGCCGACGAGAGGCTGCGGATCAACGCCATCCGGAAGAACACCATCCTTCCCAAGGAGCTGCAGGTACCAGCAGCCACCCCACAGCTGTGCCCGGCCAGGGCACGAGCCCATGCGTGGCTCTCACTGCTGTGATGTGCTCCAGGTCACTTTATAGACCCAGATGGCTGTGCCAGGTCACAAGTGCTTGTGTTTGCCCAGCTCACAAGCACAGAATGTCATATTGCAGTTACCTCAGCCTTTTGGGGGGGTGTACAACAACACTATTCACCTGACTGGAGGATGTGTGTGCTGGGTTGTGGGGTTTTTGAAAAGTGCTTCTCATGTAAGCAGCACATGTAACACTAAATACAGTGAAATCACATTTTTTCCTCCTCATGCTGTCACTACTATACATTCACAAACCTATTTTCCTTATTTCTGATAATATGTGATGTTACATGGTTACTTTTATAGCTTCCTAAATAAACTTTAGATTTTTTTTTTTTTTTTGCTTATTTAAAGACCTGGAAGCCTCATCTAGCCAAAACCAGCAATTTGATCAATTAGAAATGCTTAATTTTACTTCTTGCCTGAGCTACAGGCATGTGAAGGCTGCATCAGATCTGGCTGTTGGATCTGTTCATAAAAATGCACATATTCACTGCTGTGCTCTCAGCAGAGTGCCTTACTAAGCACTAAAAACATTTGCAAGTATCAGATTATTCCTGTATATATTGGATCTGGCTATACCTAGTTATGGCAAGATCTTTTTACACTTAAAACATCCTGAGAGACAAAATGTATGAATTTGCTTTTATATATTGATTGTACCATTCTCTTGGTAAGTCTGGCTGCTGTTGGATGTTCTTACAGGACAAAACCAAGAAACACTGGAGAAAAAAACCCAAAAGAAAGCCCTGTAACACCTTCCAAAGTACACTGTATGTGACCCCTTTTACTGACATCAAAGCATGTTACCTGGGCAGGTAGTTAATAAAAAACACATATTTAATTCAGCTTATCTTAAAGAATTAGCCCACCCTGCAACAAGGAGAAAGCCAAGTGGATTTTTGACTAACTATAATTTCTGGCTTGAGGTTGTTCAGTCTGTAATAAGGTTAAATTTTGAGTCTATTAAAGGGCTAGCCCACCCTGGCACCTGGACAGAGACAAGCTGATTTGACTATAATTAGTGGCTTGAGATTGTTCTGTCTGTATAATAAGGCTAACTTTGGGGTCTCCATGTGGATCCGTTTACATTCACTGTTGGGATGCCCAGAACGAAAGGGCTGAGTGAGGAAGACAGCAAAGTTCACTTGTGAGGTGGTAGAGAAGCTTGTGGTGGTACCTGCACAGGTTAACTCAGTGCTGTGGCCTTCTGCTTTAGGAAGTGGCTGACAAGGAGATCGCGGCCCTGCCCCGGGACAGCTGCCCTTCGAGGATCCACAACAGGTGTGTCCTGACTTCCCGCCCCCGGGGCGTGAGGCGGCGCTGGAGGCTCAGCAGAATCGTTTTCCGCCACTTTGCTGACCACGCTCAGGTGTCCGGGGTGCAGAGGGCCATGTGGTGATCACCAGGGGATGTGCATTCAGGCAGAAAACACAAAGCAGGCTCATTTGTGCATGTGAGCAATTAAAGCGAGACTGTCCCGCCTGAGAGTCCAGCATCAACATCAAATAAATAAGGGAAGGACGAGAAGTTGTGCTGATTCATTAACCTCACTGGAGTGCAGTTGGTATCAGCTGACAAGCAGCACAACTGCACTAAATCAGTCTGTGTGAGAGGCAGTTTGATTCTGAGGAAGTTCCCTACCCGATGGTTGCAGAACTAAGCTGAGGTTTGTGGTATGGGCAGTGTTAGAAATAAAGACATACAGCACAAGGCTCATTTAAGTTGGGTTTTTTTTGCCACCATATGGTAAATTCACAGTAATTTGGGTAAAAGCATAAATGAAACTGCACAACAGGGCAGTGGTATTCTGCCACAAACGAGGGTGAGCACAGACGGGATAAAACATGGCCTCTAGATACTCTTGCTATGCAATATATATTTATATTGACGAGACAAAGTGGCTAAAGGACCTGTTAGAAACTACAACGTGCTACCATTTCTCTCCTGTCTGTAGCGCAGCGCTTGGTCCAATGCTTCAAAAACAAGGTAGCAAGTAAGTCCTAGTCCAGACCCTAACAATAGAGTAGTGGCTTCCTTAAGTCCTAAGGTAACAACAAATCTGCCCTTGGGAGACTCATGAGAAGGAAGCAGGAAAAACACAGTAACAAGCCTGCTGCTAAGCTCATGTTTGCCCTGTACTCTTCTTCAAAGCAATGCAATAAAGGGGCAGTGGCTGCTCTGTCCAGCAGTGGGGCTGAGAGGTGGCAGTAAAGAGGCCAAATACCACTAGCAGCAAAGTGACAGCAACCCATGACCCCCAGCTGAGTCACATTTTGGAGTATAAGCTATCTGAATACACTTCTTACTCTGTTTCCTTAGAACCCTTGAGAGGTGATAGGCAAAGTGGAGCTGATCCCTCTTTTCTTCACACACTGCTAGAGCCAGGGCAAGCTCCCTGTCCAGCATCAACAGCTTACTGCTCTCCTGTGACTGATGCCACCTCAAAGACACCCCAGGGAGCTCAGAGTTGGCACTAAAGAGCTGCTTACATTTCCAAAATTCCTAAGAGGTTAAACAGCCAGTAATTAATTTCTGAGAGTAATTATTAAATTTTAATACCACAGGATTAACACCACATTGTTTCTGCTTAAGTATCAAGTGCACAGCACAGTGGTTCTGCTTTCTTCAGTTCTTCACTTTCCCACATCTTAATCAAAAAGCCACACCCTGTGTAGTGAGCATGACATTAGTCCCAACAACCACATGGGTACAGCTGCCATGTGTACTGGCAACAGAGGCCTTGATAAATCCTACTTTAGGATTCCTTTACTTTTATATTCTCTTCTTGGTCTCACAGCACTCCCCACTCATCTGAGATGCTTTTTCAAGGAGAGGTAAGAATATACCTATGCTCCACTCCTCAGGAAACCGTGAACCACTTGACTGAAGGAAATGCTTTATAAGCTATTTTATTTAAATATTTTCTCCAACCTGAAATGGAAAATGACTGTCTTTGCTTGGAAGAAGGTCATATAAACGATGATCTTTGCAGCACAGCGTGTCTCACATGGAAGATCGGTATTAAGGCGGCTCTCAGAGTACTTTCAGATATCCATTGGTATGTCCCCTTTGTACTGCTTTTCTCTGCTTTCCACCCAGGCCTTGTTGATGGTGCGCTTCATCTCATCGTCCCCTTCCGCGTACATCTTTTTTAAAATGTTCATGAGCCCTTCACTGGGATCTGCCGTGTCGTAGGCAGCCTTCCTGCAAGACACACACGTGAGGAGGTCAGGTATATCCAGCAACTCTGGGCAAAAAATTAAATGCTAACATTTGTTTGAAATATCCTGGTAACAGTGAGGATTTTGCTTTGGTTAAGTCTTTAGATCATGGCGGTCTCACTCAGGTTCCAAGCAGGGAGAATCCTAAGGAACATCCTTAAACCAAGAGCCAAGTTGATTGGTGTACCCAGAGATGTTCTGTGGGGCGGGAGAGCATTTTGATGGGAAGCATTTTGCACCAAACATGACCTGGAGGCACTGCCCTACATTAATTTTAAGAAGCAGAAGTGAAATAGAACAGACACAGAAAGTGCCAATAACAGTGTTACGTGACAGGCGAATAAAACCAGAGAAACGACCACACTGAGCTCTTTGAAGTGACCACATTCACAACCCAAAAGGCTTTTTTCTTCTGCTTCCCATTTTTCGGCCAGCCTCCAGAGGTTCACTGGCTCCTTTTTAACACCTTGCATTTCAAAGCAGTTTTCTCAGCTGAGAAATTGTGCCACCTGCACAGTCGCTACCTAGGCAGGACACTGCCCCTACCACCCAACTATACATAATGCCCTCTCTGGCAAAACTGCCTCTATCCCGTTTTCCAAAATCCTCTAGGTAGCTCCTTGTGCAGTCTAGCTGCAAAACATGGCAGAGCACAACAGATCAGCAGAGGGAGCAAGTTCCCCACGCCCTGGGCTAAGCACCAGCTGTGCAGACCCCAGCGCTCAGAAGCTGGGAGGTGTGTTTGTATATAAAATCATTATATAATATACATTTATATATATACATATATATATATGCATATATATATATATATATATATATATATATATGAAAGTTTCTTGTCCCCAGGTGTTTCCTGCTGTCATATGCCTATATATGTCTAAGCTGCCCACTGCTCCAAAGCACTTTGAGTGATTCAGGTTGGCTTGGGACTTTGGAAATAAATAAAGACTTGTTTGGCCAAAAGCAGGCTAGGACTTTTGTGCAGGCACTTCACACAGAGGTGACAATAATTATTTAGACCAGCAGAGCTGCAGGGAATATATCGATGTATTTCTATACAATATACCTACCTGAAAAAGTCACCTCACTAGAGCAGCTTCTGCAATGAATGCAGCCATCAAAGTGCAAATGAATCCTTAATTGGTTGATTCCCTTTACCATTCTCACCGCAGGTCTTTCTCTTGTATTTCCCATGATGCAGCCTTCATCATGAGCAAAAAAACAGTAGAAGAGTGCCAAACAGCTACTGAAAGTGTATCTCCTCTACTGCCAGTCCTACAAGCACCAAAAAAAATCCCCAAAAAACCTCAAACATCTTAGGGGCCTGTCCCCCAGCCCAGTGATTCAGGCTCTGGCTGTAGTCAGTACAGTACAGACCTCTTCCAGCAGTCCTAAGGGAACATGGAGAACAAGAAATGGAAAACAAGATGGAGGGTTGAAAGGACACTTACTCTTTCTCTTTGCTTTCTTTTTCCACTTGAGTGAGACAATCCCATTTTTCCTCCCGCTTCTTCTTACACATCACAAGGACCGTGTCTGTCTTTATCTGTACAGTGAACACCAAGGCATGAGTTTAGAATGCTACATGAAGGGATCCTGGTTACAATGAATAAGATTAGCTTATAACATAAACCTCTTCCACATGCACAAATTCCTGAAAGGTTTCTCTCAATTATTCATTATTATGTAGCCTACAAAAATTATAGCATGTGCTCAGCTTTAAGGCACGAAGTATTAACCTCACTGTGAACAATTTAAATGGCGTGGTAATTAGAATTCTAGTACAGAACTACAGTACCAATACAGAAGAACATTAAGTGCTGCATAAACACCGTTCATTGATTCTCGGGATGCTCAGGTACCCAGGGCTGCCTTGTAGAGGGTCTAGACTTCCTACTGGACTTCTCCAAGCACACCAAGTTCAGGTAGACGCTCTTCCAATTTCTCTCTCCAAGGATAAGAAACTAGTTTTAGGGTATTGCTTAATCTTGCAGCATGTTTGCAAGTTACAAACAAAGCCTGTTTAATTGCAACCCTGACCTAAATTTCGCAAAGAACTCCCACTTGCCACAGCAGACAAGAGTGCTGCTGCTTCGCAAGTACGTGACCACTGCTCACTTTCAGCCCATATTAAAAAATCACCAGAGCATCACCTTCATTTATTTCAGCTGTTTCAATTTCACTCTATCCTAGTTTTAGGGCAATTTCAAATTGAACCATCATTTCTTCCCATCGTGCAGCATCTTCACCATGTGCAGCAGAGAACACACACCGGGTGTGCGACACCTCCCTAAGCCTGGAAAGTTGCTACAAGTAGCAGAGCATGGATATCACCAGCTGCAGTCAGCAGCAGTAAAATGTTATTAATGTTCTGGTTTCAGCTGGGATAGAGTGAATTTTTCCCTTGGAAAATTAACCCCAGCGGGGGTTAAGCCACACCACCAGTGTTCAGTTCTGGAGCAATACACCCTTACCAAGGCAGAGCACGTCTCAGACTTTGCTTTGGGAATTAAGCCTCTTTAGGCTTCCCAAGATTTCATTCTGCAGACAAATCTCTTAGACCTTAAAACTGCAGAAAATTCCTCAGAGGTATTTAAAAGATACAAATGGATGCTTGGTGGAATTTTCTGCTTAATTATTTCTGAAATCCTGTTGAAGAGCTATTAAAAAAAAAAAAAAAAAGCATAGTATATCCAGACACAATCTTTTGAAATAGGATTCCAGAGACTAATTCCACAGTTATGACAATCACAGATTAATAAGAATCACATTCACAGTGCAGAGACTTTACAGTAGAAGGGAGAGACTGAAGGTTAGGACCGAGTCTCCTGAAATAATCAGGCAATGAACATGATATTTTGTGAGGGACCTAAATTATCTCTTAACAGACAAGGTGTCTCAAACAGACCTTTCTAGAGCTGCCTTCCACAGAGATGGGCTTCAGGAGGTTGTTGAAGGTCATGGTATAGTTCTTTCCATTCAGGTTCTTCACCAGTAGATCAAATGACCTCGAAACAGAAAGTGGAGGAAAGAAAGGCACAAATATTCCAATCATTGCAATGTCTGAAAACCCTTTAGCAGATCTATGTCTTGGGAAAGCAGGTCAACAGGCTGTTTCTTCCCAGGACTCTCAAATGTTCAGCTGAATTTTAACACTAAGAAATTAAAAGGACAAATCCTGACTTCACAACAAATCAAGATCTTCAGGGTCCTTTCTACTAAACTCCTACAACCTTGGAAAGGCAGATTTCTTTAATGTATATTTAAGTTCTATCAGCATCAAAAAAACAGGGCTGACACTAGACGTCCTGTCAAGCATGGTGAGGTGCAACAAGCACTTGCAAAATGAAAACATCCTGATACCCTCTAAGGAGAGCTGTACTTAAGAGTGTGTCCTGAGTGCTACTAAGAGCTAATACAGCTCAAGTTTTAAAAAAGAAAAAGGGAGTGGGGAGTAAGGGTTTATCCAACACTCCTGCATTTCAAACAGCGTTCTTGTTGTGGTACAACCAGATGAACTCACCTCTCTGTGAAATTCACCTGCACATTCTCAGCTGGAAGCTTCTGGACTCCATTTAAAGAGATGTAAATCTTCACAAACTTATCTGACTGATCCCAACCTGCAAGTGAAAAAACAGAGATTAACTTCTACTTTTCCTCCATAAGCTTCATACATTCCATTCCAACTCACTCCACAAACTCCCCTAGAATGACTACGAACTCTGCCTTACTGAAACAATCCTCAGAGGGATAGGGGAAAACATGAATTATTCAGAAATAACTCGAGAGCAAAAGGAGGTCTTTACATGTAGCCCTGTTCCCTAATTCCTGCAAATTCTGAGAAAAAACATGCATCAGCTGAGGTGAAAGGAGAGCAACCCCATCTCTGCAGGGGGACTTGGAGGCAGCTGTCTGCTCCTGCTGCAGTTTCCTTGACCCACTTTTTCCCCTACTCCCTGCATCTTGAGCAATTCCCTCTCCTCTCACCTACATGGCAAGCAGAGAAGCCAAACCTCACTCCTTCACTTCTGCTAAGCACTAGGTAATGGAAAAATACCAGCTGGTACACCAGGGATCCTTAATGCATCGCACCAGGACCATCACACACACTGAGGCTGGCATGGCAGGGTAAGCACGTGGTACCTTTAAAGTGGGGTCCCCAGTATGAAATAAAAACTTAAAAAGGTTTCGCTATAATGACAAGTGGCAACTCTAACTCACAGTAATGCCACCCTGCCTTCTCTTCAGAGAGATGCTAGAAAAGTAATCCTACCATAATTGTTTATTTTCACTGTGTACCCTCCCAGCGACGACTTTTCTTCCTCTGCCACATCTTTGGGCTTGGGCAGAGGCTGATTCTTGATTTCTATCTCCAGCTTGTGTTTCTCTGCCAGCAGGACATCATGCACCCGCTTCCTCGTGGCCTTCGTGAGCAGTTCTTTAACCTCCTCCAGATCTTTCTGCAGCTGGTTCAAAACCAAAAGGTCACATATATATTAGACACAGTTCTTTGTGCTCAGGGCTCACAGCTGAGCTCTTTGCAACAGTTTCCCGTTTTCCAGAAGCTTCACGTTTATCAGGTCATTAGTTTCGTTAAACCCAGAGCCATCTCTTCCTCACCCCCTGTGAGATATACACATATATGTCCTGTGGATATATAACCATATAAAACCATATATATAGAACCATCAAATCTTAATTCACAGAATGGCAGAACGGGTCCGGTCGGAAGGAACCACAATGTGTCACCTTGCCCAGCCTCCCTGCTCAGGCAGGGCCACCCTAGAGCACATGGCTATTAAGGCTGGGAAAACCCCTCCAAGATCATCAACTCCAACAAGTTTTAAGCTTTCAATGTCTAACCCTTCATCATTTAAGAAACGACCCGAACCGACAGGAGTCGGGCGGATGGCACGGCTCCCCCGACACGCCCCGCCGCAGGGGGAGACCCCCGCAGCCCTTGGCGACCGCGGGGGCTGCCGCTCCCACCCCGCTCCCACCCCGCTCCCGCCCGGGCACGGACCGCAGCGCCCGGGGGCGGCGAGGCCGGAGCTGCCGGAAGCCGCCTCACCTCCTCCCGCGCCGCGGCCATGGCGGCTCCCGCTGGAATCTCTGGAACCTTCCGGCCGCGGGAAGTGACGAGACACCGCCCGCTCCGCCCCTCAGGAGGCGGGACATGGAGCCTTCCCGCCCCCGGGCGCTGAGGGGTACGAGAGACATGGGGCGGGACATGGGGCGGGACATGGAGCCTTCCCGCCCCCGGGCGCTGAGGGGTACGAGGGACATGGGGCGGGACATGGGGCGGGACATGGAGCCTTCCCGCCCCCGGGCGCTGAGGGGTACGAGAGACATGGGGCGGGACATGGGGCGGGACATGGAGCCTTCCCGTCCCCGGGCGCTGAGGGGTACGAGGGACATGGGGCGGGACATGGGGCGGGACATGGAGCCTTCCCGCCCCCGGGCGCTGAGGGGCGGGCGGGACCAGGAGCTCTCCCCGCCCCGAGGCTCTGAGGGGCGGGCGGTGCCGCCCTGAATTTGCTGAATTTGCAAGGGTCTAGGAAGGAAACCATTTATCCTTTGAAGGCGACATAACGGCATGGTCTAGGTTGACCTTGCTGCTATCTCTGGTCTCTTCAAAAAACAAATGGCAACAAGAGTAACGCTTATATAGTGGTTTGCATGAATATCTATGTCTAATGACTTGGTTACGAGAAGCCTTGTTTCGATTTTCAAACCTTTTGTCGTGATTTCACGGAGTTTCACTGTAACTGTCACCTGTCTTGCTCTGGTCACTCGTATCTCATGTGTGAGAGCACACCTTGTTTTGTAAGAGGACTTTGCTATAACTCTGTGAGGGGCCGGAGGCTGAGGAGCTCCCTGCGGCGGGCAGGGAGCACGTTTTCTTTTGGTCATCAGATTTCTCCCACTGGTTTTATGGCAGACGCCACAGAGCTCATGGCTGCGAAGGCCTCAAATAGTTTTGCAAAACAACATACTGTTTTCCTTCTTCAGGTAAAGAATATCAGGTTGATGCAGTGGAGTTAATAATGATGAAAAGGGAAGAAATTTGTGTTCCCAGCCTTTAAAGGGAACAAGGCTCATAAACCGAGTGCCCCTTTCTCCGTTGGCTCCTCATTTTCGCGGAAAAGATTATTAAGGTTGGAAAAGACCTCCAAGGTAACTCTAACACGGTTTAAGCTTTCAAGTTCTAATCTTTCATCAATAAAAAACCCCAATTCAAACTAACAGCAGTTGGGTAGATGGCACACTCCCCAGACACGCACTGCCTCAGGGAAACCCCTCACAACAGTGAGCTTTCTAGAGTAAAACCAGAGTCTAAGTTACTGCTGGGAAGTTTTTCCTAACCTGTAATGTCACAATGTGTTCTCAGGGAGTGACTTTGGGAGTAAGAGAAGATTTACTTATCAAACCATCTGGAAGGAATGTAGCTTTTATTCACAAAATGTGGCTATATGTGTATAAAAATACACTGGTGTAATGCTACCAAAATTCTCTTTAAGCATTTTCCTCGTTGAAAGAAAAAGATGGTTCTCACAATTCTTACTAAATCAGCACTTTGAGCACCAACAAAAAAGTTTCTATATCCCCAGGTTCCTGCTGGGCATTAAGATTTCCCACAAAAACAAAAATAGACAAGGCAACATCAATCCTTCTCTCAGTAGGAATGTGGAGGAGGGAGCATTTGCTTCCAGATGTCCCTTATAAACAGTGGAAACCAAGGCAGGACACAGCCCTTCAGTGTTTAAAAAGTCAATTTCTGTAAAAAAAGGTACCAGTTAGAACAACTGTTTTACCAAGTTGGGGAATTCCAGCTCATTTGCCGATTTATGGGCTTAGGTTTTGGGGTTTTTTTTCTCTTCTAAAGTGAATATCCAGGAATTAATTAATCTGTGAGGATATTTACTTTGCAGAGGAATGGAGAAATTTGATGATGAATTCACAGAAACCCTGAAGCCAAGGATTGATATTCACGTCTGCATTCCCCACAGCAGTTTTAACAGATGTCGTAGTGAGGTGTTTATTATAACCCTCTGCTGCAGAATCTGCAGTTGGGAAAGATCTGCAAAATTAACTGTGATTATGTTTTATTTTCACAGGAATGAGCTTAAGCCTGACCATCTTCAGGAACAGCATTTGGAGACAGGATAATTGATTTTATCCAGAAAATATAATATGGTCAACTGGAATTTACTTCCATGGCATGATTTCTCAATTTCTGAATAAGCAATTTCTGCTTATTCAGAAATTGCTTCCTTACGATCTTTCTGTTGAACAGCCACTGAGACAGGAAAAAACCTTCTGTGTTTTTTTCCCTTATATTTTTTCCTTTGAGTCTCTCCACTCTCAGCTGTGGTCTTATATTAGGAAGTGCTCTTATTTGGTAAATTTGTACATTAATTTCTAGGAGGAAAATGTTTTCATTACTCCATAAATGCATTTGAGCCTGCAATTTGCTTTTTTTCCCATGAGATTTAAAAAAAACCAAACAAAACAACAGTGTTTGTTTCCTTAAATCAGGAGCATTTCAGCACCTGTGGCACTTTACCCTTTGAGTGGCAGCTTCCACGTGGAAGAGTTAACCACTCTTGTCATGTAAAAACAAGCTCCACACAGGTCTCCTGTGCACAAAGCTGCAGCAGCATCTGGATGCTGCATCCTCTCCTGACAAACACTTTGGATAGTGATGTGGAGGTAAATCAATACAAAATGTTACGCCTGGTAAATTTAATCTTCAGCTTTTCTCCCTCTTTGCCTTCTTATCTTCCCCTGAAGTGCTGTGTGCTTTTCCAGCTATCTGGGAACAACGGCTGTTCATCTCAGGTAATAGAAAAGAAATCCCAGAGCAGTTGCTCACGTGGAAAAATGGTTTTATAAATCGCTTGGATACTTCTGACTGTGGTACATTCTGCTCAGTCCTGTTCTTGCTCAGCTGTGCCTCTCTTTGGAGTTCGTTTCCAGTGTCTTGCTGTTTCCTTCTGCTCCCTGTGTCTCTTCCTGCAGGCATGCTGCCTCATGGCTCACTTGTACTCCAGGGAAGTGGGAAGTCCTTATCAATATCTGTTGGTAAGTATCCCCAGCCTTTAGGAAAAGCATTCTCTGTGCTGGAAACCAGACTGGCATTTGGAGCAGAGGACCAGGGTGACCTGTTAGCTCTCTGGCACAGCTCCTTGTGAACAGGTTCCCTAAGGGTTGGGTTGGAATTAGCTGAGTAGCACACACGTTTTGGACAGCTCATCTGCTGAGTCACTGGTGCAACAGAGCTGCTTGAACAGAACCAGCTGCATCACAAAACCTGACACAGCAGCTGCTTACTCCTGCCAAGAGATTGAAGCTGTTTCTTAAGCAAATGGCTCAGGAAAATAAGCACCTTATTCCCATGTTGTTGTCCATTTCCATTTATTTTACAAGGCATTGTTAACACAATGATAACAAGGTACTGATCCAAACAATTCAGTAACGATTAAAAAAAGTAAACATTTTTTGTGACCATGTACATTGAATTGCACTTTTAATAACAAGCATTACACTTATATTTCCATGTCATACTTTATATAATACATGGATGATTTACTCAAGTACTGGCAGTACTGAATTGTTCTCAGTTAAAAGTCTGTTCTCTCTGTGATGCTCTTTTTTTGCTAACTCTTTAGAAAGATTTGTGAACTTGGCACACATACAGATCACAAAGGCAATTCCAAACCTGGAAAACTTCATTGTAATGGAGTCAGAGCTTTGAAGCTGCTCTGTTTTCAATGGGCTGGAGTGAATCCACCTAAATGGCAGACACGGAGGGAGCTGGATCATGCTTGGGTAGACCCTTTTCTGTACTCACGTACCCTCTTTTCCCAGTTCAGAGAAGGCAAGGAATCTTCTTCCTTGGAAAACAACAGTTCCCAAAGCTCCAGACAGTTCCTGGCACAGCTTTTGAGGGTGGTATCAGCAGCAATGCAAATCCAGGGATTACTGGAAAGAGGGAATTGACACCTGGAGAAAAATCTGGAAACATCTGCTCTTGTTTGCATTGGTAGTACCATCCATGTATTATATAAAGTACAAAAATAAGAGAAACTGTAGGGAAATTAGTACAGCTCAGGATTCTGGTGGTATCAAATCACAAATGAAATTTATGATACCAAATCCTTTCAATGTATTTATCCCCTTGCCGTTCAGTTTCTTATATATAATTCTATATATAAGATATAGTTCTCCAAAGATACATATCTATTCCTTTACAGGTTAAATAAAAGCAAGTCCCACTGAATAAGAAAATAAGAGGAAGTAATGTCCTAATTCTCTACCCATATCTTTTTTCTTTTTCAGGTAAAAATAGCATGAAATACATTCAGTAGCAAAGCAGTTGGAATCCAGGAGAAACGGAGAGACTGTATTCCTGGAGAATTAACCTGTACGTGTTAAGTCACAATCCTGAAGTAATTTGTGTAGACTTCTGACTTGGGAAAGATAGGATCTTGATCAATGCTGAGCATTATTTATCCAGTTGCAAATTCCTTGCATTTCCCAAAAGCCATCTGTGGATCAGCCCAGTTCTAAAGGCTGCTGTGACGTGCACCTACCCTAAAACTTGAGAGGTCCAAGCTTGAGCGCTTCATCGCATCTCCCTTTAGTGTTAATGGGACAGCTCCCAGTAGGATATTAGCACAACAGACAGAAATATAATTTGGGGTTACCCTTTGTGTTTGCATGTCTAGGACAGCCAGCTGTGTGCACAGCAGCCCCTTCAGCAGAGTCCCTGTCAGCCACAGCAGCCCCTCAGCCTTGAGGGGAACCTCTCTGCCCTCTCTTCACAAGCAATCAGTGACACTCGCTGTGGTTTTCTCTCCAGCAGCTGGAAGAACATCAGCACTCTGAGGTAAGAGTGCTTCTGGTTTCAAAGCCAAAGGTGTTTGGCCTTAGATGATGCAGAAGTTGCCAATTATCCCCGAGTCTAACAGTAAATCAAAATCAGAGGTATAGTTCTCCTACACATACAAGTAGTTTCATGGATTTCACTGCAGCTACTTAATAGAAGGAAGGGAACAGACCCACCTTGATCCTGTGAGAAAGTGTGGCATGTAGCTTCCAATGTGGCTTTTGAGACTTTAGTGCCACTAAATGCAGATTTTTATTTACTCCTTAACTGCCACATTCA